GTATATTTCTAAGGCATATTTACTCTGTATTACAAATTTGTACCCTTAAACTACATCTGTTCTTGATCCCATAACCTCTGTCCCCTGGTAACCACCATTTTATTTTCTGTTTCTACAACTTTGGACTTTCTAAATTCCACAGATAAGTCACAGCATATTGCACTTGTCTTTCTCTGACTTATGTCACTTAGTATAATGTGCCAAATCCCTCATCCATGTTGTCACAAGTGACAGGATACCCTTCTTTCTCATGAGTGAATGTGTGTGTGTGTATGTGTATACATATCACATCTTTTTAATCCATTCATCTGTCAGTGGACACAGGTTCTTTCCATATCTTGGCTGTTGTAAATAGTGCTGCAGTGAACATGGGTATGCATATGCCATTCTGAATTAGTGTTTTCATTTTCTTTGGATAAATACCCAGAAGTAGAATTACTAGATCATGTTACGGTTCTTTAATTTTTTTTTTTCTTTAAGGAACTTCCATACTATTATCTATAGTAGCTGTGCAAATTTATATTCCTTCCAGCAGTGCACAAGGGCTCCCTTTTCTCCTCATCCTTGCTACATGTTTGTCTTCTTGTGGTTTTTGTGTTAAAGATTTTATTTGTCAGAGTGTGTTCACACACAAGCCAGAGGAGCTGCAGGCAGAGGGAGAAGCAGGCTTCCGCTGACCAGGGAGTTCGATGCGGGACTCAGTTCCAGGACCCCAATCCCAGGATCATGACCTGAGTCGAAGGCAGACGCTTAACTGACTGAACCGCCCAGGCATCCCTCCCTGTGGTTTTAATTTGCATTTTCCTGATGGTTATTGAAGTGGAACATCTTTTCATGTACCTCTTGACCATGTGGATGGAGGTCTTAAGAAAGTATCTGTTTAGTTCTTCCCAGTTTTTGGACTCTTGGGTGTTTTTGTGTCCAGTTATAAGAGTTCTTTATGTGTCTTGGATTTGAGCACTTTGTCAGATACATGATTAGCAAAAATTTTCTCCCATTCCATAGCTTGCTTTTTCATTTTGTTGCCTTTTTTTTTTTTTTTTTTGCTTTCGTTGTGCTTTTGGGATCATATTTCAAACTGCTATGACCATTGTTGAGCTACTTCTTTATGTTTTCCTATAGTTTTGTAGTATAAGGTCTTATGTATAAGTCTTTGATCCATTTCAGGTTGATTTTTGTGGGTGATAAGAGTCGTCTAATTTCATTGCTTGGTGTTTATCCAGTTTTCCCAACACCCATCTTTTGAAGAATCATCCTTTCCCCATTGGGTGCTGTTTGCTCCCTTGTCATTTATTATTTGACTTATATACACAGGGGTTTAGTTTTGGGCTATCAGTTCTGTTGGTCTATATGTCTGTTTTAGTGTTGGCACCATGCTGTTTTTATTGCTGTTGCTTTGTAGTATAATTTGAAATCAGCAAATGGGGTACCTCCAGCATTGTTCTTTTCCCTCGAGAGTGCTTTGGCAATTTGGGGTTTCATACATATTTTAAGATTGTTTCTTTATTTCTGTAAAGAATGCCATCGGTATTTTGATGGAGATTGCATTGAATCTAGATGGCTTTGGGTAGTATGGACTTTTTAATACTAATTCTTTGGATCCATTAACAAAGGATGTCTTTCCATTTGGTTGTGTCTTTTCATTTTTTAGCTAAGTCTTAGTTTTTTTCATTGTATATCTTTCATTTCCTTGGTGAAATTTTTTCCTAAATAGATCATTTGTGGTGCTGTGAATGGGATAATTTTCTTCTCAGGTATTTCATCCTTAGTGTATAGGAAGGTAACTTATTTCTGTACATTGATCATGCGTCATTCAACTTTACTGAAATATTAGTTCCAGCAGTGTTTTGGTTGTCTTTGGGATTTTGCATAAACAAAGTCATATAACTGCAAATGGGACACTTTGACTTCTTTCTTCCTGATTTGGATGTGAGGGAAATCTTTCAGTTCTCAGCTGAGTATCATGTTAGGTGGGGGGTTTGTCACACATCGCCTTTATTACCTTGGGGTATATTACTTCTCTACTCAGTCTGCCAAAAGTTATTATGAAAGGATTTTGCATTCTGTCAAATGCATAGATGATCATGATGTTTCTTTCACTACATTAATGTGATTTCATTTCATTAATGTGATGAAAAATCATGTATTGATTTGTGTATGTTGAACCATCCTTGCAACCCAGGGAAAAATCCCATCTAGCCCTGGTATATAATTTATGTGTTCTTGAATTTGGTTTGCTAATACTTTGTTGAGAATTTTTATGTCTATGTTTATCAGGAATAGTGGTTTATAGTTCCTTTTTTTGTGGTTATTGTTTTTAGGGAGAGAGCACACATGCCACTGAATAGTGGGTGGACTAGGAAGGAGAGGGAGAGACTCTTAAGCAGACTCTGTGCCCAGTGTCTGCATGGGGCTCAGTCTCATAGCCCTGAGATCATGACCTGAGCTGAAATCAAGAGTTGGATGTTTAACTGATTGAGCCACCCAGACACCCCTTTTTTGTTGCATTCTTACCTGGCTTTGGTGCCAGGATAATGCTGGCCTGTTAAGCTGAGTTTGGAAGTATTCCCTATACCTCCCATTTTTGGAAGAGTTTGAGAAAGACTGGTATTAGTTCTTTGACTGTTTATTGGAACTTGCCGATGAAGCCCTCTGGTCCTGGGTTATTTTTTGTACTGGGAGCTTTAAATTACTGATTCAATCTCTTGCTCATTACTGTCTTTTCACATTTTTTTGTGTGTGTTTGATTTGGTCTTGATGGGTTGTTTCTAGAAATTTTTCCGTTTCTTCTACGTTATCTAATTTTGGGTATAGAGTTATTCAGTAGTCTCTTATGATCCTGTGTATTTTGTAGTACCACTTGTATGGTCTTTTTCATTTATAATTTTATGTCTTTGTCTAAGTCTGGCTAATAAAATTTTGTCAGTTTTATCTCTTTGATGAACCAGCATTTAGTTTCATGGGCAGTTTTTTTCTGAAATAGGATTTTTATTTTTTCTGCTTTGATTTTCTTTCCTTCCTTCTGCTTCCTGTAAACTTGTTCTTTTTATATTTCCTAGAGGTGTACAGTTAGGTTGAGAACTTTGTAATTTCTTAAGATAACGCATTTCATGCTATAAACTTGACTCTTGACTGCTTTGCTTTTACCCATAAGATTTGATGGGTCATATTCCCTTTTTCATTTGTTTTAATTTCCCTTTTTTATTTTTTGACTTACTGTTTAGAAGTGTGTTATTTAGTTCCCATGTACTAGATTCTTCTAGCTTCCTCTTGCTGATGTCTAATTTATACGATTGTGATCAGATCAGAAAAGAGAGTTGGTATACTTTCAGTCTTAGTTTGCTGAAATTTGTTTTGTGCCCTGTCATAGGATCTGCCCTGGGAAAATGCTCATATGCCCTTGAGAAAAGTGTGTATTATACTGTTCTTGGATGGAATAGTACTATATATATGACTGCTAAATCATTTTGTTTTGGAAGATGTTTTGGTTCAATTCCAATATTTCCTTTTTGATTTTCTGACTGCATGATTAATTTATCGAGTAGTATTAAAGTTCCCTATTAATGTATTGCTCATTTCTCCATTTAAATCTGGTGAAATTTTTTTAATCATGGTGCTCTGATGCTGCATGTGTGTATATTTTTGAACATTCTCTTTTCTTGACATCTTTGTTACTTTATCATTATGTAATGACTTCTTTATCACACTTGCTAGTGTTTTTGGCTTGACATGTATTTTTTTCTGGCATAAGTATGGCTACACCCACTTTTTTTGGTATCCACCTGCATGGAATATCCTCTTGTATTTCTATACTTGAGTCTGTGTATGTCTTGAAAGCTGAAGTGAATTTCCTGTAGAGTGGAGTTGGGTCCTTTTTTTTTTTCATCAGTCACTCTGACCTTTGGTGGAATCCATCCATTCATAATTACTTATACTACCATCTTATTGTTTGCCTTCTAGTCTTGTATCTCCTGTGTTTCCTTACCCTATTTTCTACCTTTGTAAAGTGGATTTCCATGGTGATTTGTTCAGTCTCCCCTTTTTTAGGTTTCATCACTAGATTTTTGCTTTGTGGTTACCAGGTGGCTTACATAAACCATCTCATAGGTAAAGTACTCTTAGGGGAAGATGTTTTTAAGAAATAGTTCAGGCATGTTCTATAACATCCTTGATTAATTACACTGTTCTACCACATAATCACTTGTTCTTTTCTTAAAGATGATGAAAACAAAATAACTTTTGAAACAATAACTTGCAAAGGTTACTATAGTTGACCCTTGAACAATGTGAGGGTTACAGGTGCCAGTCCACCGTGCAGTCAAAAATCTGCGTAACTTTACTCCCTAAAAATTTAACAGCTATGGGCGCCTGAGTGGCTCAGTGGGTTAAGCTGCTGCCTTTGGCTCAGGTCATGATCTCAGGGTCCTGGGATCGAGTCCCGCATCGGGCTCTCTGCTCAGCAAGGAGCCTCCTTCCCTCTCTCTCTCTCTCTCTGCCTGCCTCTCCATCTACTTGTGATCTCTCTGTCAAATAAATAAATAAAAAATCTTTAAAAAAAAAATTTAACAGCTAATAGTTTACTATTGAGGAGAAGCCTTACTGATAACAGATTGATTAACCCCTATTTTGTGTATTATATGCTGTATTCTTACAATTAAAAATAAAGAAAATGTAATCATCAAGAGAAAATGCATATACAGTACTGTATTTATGAGAAGAAAATCCACGTATAAGCAGATGTGTGCGGTTCAGACCCATGTTGTTCAAGAGTCAACCGTATGTTTAACTTTGTAAAATTAATGAACTCTTTTTCAAAGTGCTTGTACCATTTTACATTTCTACTAGCAGTGTGCCAAAGTCCCAAGTTCCTTGACATTTAAGGGAATTTTCAGTTACTTTGTTTTTCTGCCCCACAACTGGGGTGTTTGTTTTTGTTTTATTAACACTTTGGTGATGAAGTTATGAATTGTTAAAAGAGCCAAAAAACGTCTTTACAGATGGACAGGATGGAAGTCTAAAGTCAAAACATGACATGAAAAGCAAGATTATAGAATACTCTGGCATCATGAATTATCAGAAAACAAGAGTTTTACCCTCAGACTTTCAGTAACACTTTAAATGGCTAGCCACTTGGCTGGGACCTCACTATAACACTTCTGTCAGAGTCCCTGCTGCTGCTTGAATTGTAAAGGCTGCAATAGAAATGTGTTTCTTTACTTCTGTCCAGGCTGAATGAGGGTCTTCTTTGTTTTCAATATCAAACATAGCATCATAGATCCCAGGAAATGATTCTCCAGCATATTTGTTGTGGCTACTTGGAGCAAAGATGATGTGCCTAATAGAAGAAAACAGATGGTAGGCTGAGCTAGAGTATACATACATTACACTTTATATGCTTTTTTATTCATTCCCTTTTAGCAGACCACATCTTAAGAATACTGTGTGTCTCCTCCTGGCATTCACTTTTTTTATTCCAAAATGACCTATAAGTGATTTACGATACTTATGTGACAGTATAACTTTAAGCAAAGAAATCTGACTATGCATTCACTGCATTTGTCCTTTACTGGAGAATTAGAAAGGGAGAGCATAGCAAAAAATGTATATAGATAGATATAAGGTTTGTACAAACCTGGTTTGAATCCTTGAACTGACATCTAATAGTCCTGTGGCTTTTCACCTTGGTTAAGTTCTTAGATATTCTGTTCTTTTTGATGCAGCTGTAAATGGAATTATCTTTTTGTTCCTCTTCTTGATAGGCCATTATTAGTGAATAGAAATAAAATCAGTTTCTGTATATTGATTTTGTATCTTCACCTTACACTGAATGTAATTTGTTCATTCTAACAGTTTTTTGGTGAATTCCTTAGGTTTGTCGCTACATAATGTCACCTGCAAATAACAATGGTTTTACTTCTTCCAATATGGATGGTTTTTTTCTTGCCTAATTGCTCTGGTTAGGACTACCCATACTGTGTTGAAAAGAAGGGGCAAGAAGCAGCATCTTGGTCTTGTTCCTCATCTTAGAGGAAAAGCTTTCAGCCTTTTACCATTAAATACGATATTAACTGTAGGCTTGTCTTATGTGCCCTTTATTATATTGAGTTACATTTCTTCTACATAATTTTGTTGAGTTTTAATAAAGTGTATGTTGAATTGTGTCAAACGCTTTTTCTGCATCTGTTAAAGACTTTTTTGTCCTTCATCTTGTTAATGTAGTATAGAACATTTATTTGTGGATATTGAACCGTCTTTGTATAAACCGTCTTTGAATAAATCCCATTTGTGGTACATGATCTTTTTAATATATTGTTGAATTCGGTTTGCTAAGTTTTATAGAGGATTTTTTTTTTTTTTATGTTCATCATATTGGGTGGTAATTTTCTTTTGCATCCTTATTTGATTTTCCTATGAGGGTAATGCTGGCCTTTTAAAATGCGTTTGGAAGTGTTCCCTCTTTTTTTTTTTTGGAAGAATTTGAAAAGAATTGGTATTGATTATTTTTTCAGTGTTTTGTAGAATTCATCAGTGAAGCCACCTGGTCCTGGACTTTTGTTTGTTGAGAGGTTTATGATTACTAATTCAGTTTCCTCACTAATAACTGGTCTATTCACATTTTCTGTTTGATTAATAAGTTCTGGAAGGCTGTATGTTTCTAGAAGTTTGTCCATATCTATTACATTATCCAATTTGCAGACAGATGATTGTTGATAGTAGTCTCTTATTTATTCCCATAGTATTAGTTACAGTGTCTCCTCTCTTTATTTGAGCCCATTCTCTTCTTGGTGAATCCAGTGAATAGTTTATAAATTTCATCTTTTCAGACAGTCAGCTTTTCGTCTTAGTGAACTTTTTTTTTTTTTTGGCTTTTTAATTTGTTTCCTTGATTTTCTCTTTGTTATTTCCTTCTCCTACTGACTTTGGGCTTTACTTGTCATTCTTCTACTTCCTTGAGATGTTAGGTTGATTAAGAGTTTTGCTTTTTTCTGAGGTATAGGGTATTCATTGCTGGTGAATGTCAATCTTAGAACTGCTTTTGTTGCATCCCATAAATTTTGCCATGTTGTACTTCCATTTTCATTTTTCTCAAGGTATCTTCTTTGTCTTTTGATTTCATTAACCTGTTAGCTGTTTGGTAAGTAGAATGTTAATGTCCACCTGTTTGTGAGTATTCCACTTTCCTTCTTGTAATTGATTTCTAGTTTCATACCCCTGTGGTCAAAAGAGATGCTGGATTCTTAAATTAATTAAGTCTTGTTTTTTTGGCATAACATATGACCCATCCCAGAGAATATTCCACATGCACTTGCAAGAATGTGCATTCTGCTTTTGGATGGAACGTTCTGTATATATCTTTTCATTTCATATGGTCTAATGCGTCATTTAAGGCTCATGTCTCCATAGTAATTATTTTGTTTGGAAGCTAGCCATTGATATGTGGTATTAAAGTCTCCTCCTATTCCTCCTATTGTACTGCTGTTTCTCTTTTGGTCTCGATTTATGTGTTCAGGTGCTTTTATGATGGTTAATGATGATTTATTTACAAATGCATCCTCTTGTTTGACCCTTTTATTGTGTAATTTCCTTCTTTGTCTTTTATTACAGTCTTCATTTTAAAGTATTTTGTCTGATATTAGTATAGCTATCTCTGCTTTCTGTGGCTTCCACTTGCATTTGATATCTTTGTGCTTTCATATTTAGTTTCTGTGGGTCTTTACATTTGAAGTGAGTCTCTTCTAGGCATGATATAGACAGGTCTTGTTTTGTTGTTGTTGTTAACATTTAGCCACCCTGTCTTTTCGTTGGAGCAGATTCCATTTACATTCAAAATAATCAGTATTATGTACATATTATTGTGTCAGTTGTTTTCTTGCTGTTTTGTAGTTCCTCCTTGTTCCTTACTTTCCTCCTCTTGCCCTTTGTGGTTTGATGGTACGTATGCTTAAGTTTTTATCTTTTCTTGTATCTAATACAGGCTTACCTCATTTTATTGTACTTGAAAGATACATTTTTGTTGGTTTTTTTTTAAATTGAAGGTTTATGGCAAACCTGCATCTAGCAGTTCTTTTGACACCATTTTTCCAACTACAATTACAGTTACTCTTGTAATATTTCAAACTTTTATTATATATATTTTATTGGAATACATTTGACAATACGGTGTTACTAGTTTGGGGTATATACATTTTACGTACAGTTTTACATTTATGTACAGTTACATACATTAAGAAATGCTCGCTGCAGTAACTAGTTACCATCTGTCACCAAAGTTATTACAGTATTATTGACTATATTCCCTGTGGTGTACCTTTCATCCTCGTGGCTTATTTATAACTGCGAATCTGAACCACTTAACCCCCTATTTTGCCCACCCTCCTGCCACCTTCCCCTCTAGCAACCACCATTTCTTTTCTTAGTTCATTTGTTTTGAAGTGAAATTGGATGGTATTTGTCTTTCTCTGACTTGTTTCAGTTAGCATAATACCCTCTTAGTTGGGTGCCATGTTGTAGATGGCAAGATTTCATTCTTTTTTAGGGTTAATGTTCCATTGTATGTGTACCACATTATTGTTATTAGTGGACATTTAGTTTGCATCCTTATGTTGGCAGTTGTAAATAACACTTCGGTAAAATAAGGATGCATGTATTTGTATTTAATTAAATACATATTTATACATTTAGTGTTTTCAGGCTTTTTTGGGTAAAAACCCAGCAGTGTGATTACTGGATTATGTAGAGTTCATTTTTAATTTCTTAAGGAACCTCCATACTGTTTTCTCTGGTGGCTGCAGCAGTTTACATTCCCACTAACAGTGCATGAGAGTTCCCTTTTCTCCACATTGTCACCGACACTTGGCTTTTTGATGCTAACCTTTCTTACAGTTGTGAGGTGGTGATACCTCAGTTTTCATTTGCATTTCCCTAATGATTAGTTATGGGGACCACATTTTTCATATTTCTTGGCCATGTGTACTCTTTGGAAAGATACATATTCAGGTTCTCTGCCCATTTTTTTAATCGATTATTGGGGGCTTTTTGTATCTCAGATATGAACCCATTATATTAGATCTATCATTTGCAATTATCTCCTCCCATTTAGTAGGTTGCTTGTCATTTTGTTGGTTTCCTCGGCTGCACAAAAGTTTTTAGTTTGATATTCTACCAAAAGTTTATTTTTGCTTTTGTTTTCCCTGCCCAAGGAGGCCTATCCAGAAAAACTTTGCCACGGCCAGTGTATAAGAGATTGCTGCCTATGTTGCTGGTTTTTTTGTTTTTGGTGGAGTGTTATGCTTTTAGCTCTCACATTTATTTAGGCATTTAGTCCATTTTGAGTTGCTTTTTGTTTGACGTAGGGAAGTGGTTCATTGCATTTGTATGTTGCTGTCCAGTTTTCCCAGCACCATTTATTGAAGAGACTCCACTGCAGTCTTGCCTTTTTTGTATGTTATTAATTGTATAAGCATGGGTTTATTTTTGGGTTCTCTGTTCCATTCCATTAATCTCTGGGTCAGTTTTTCTGCCTGTATCATACTGATTACTGTAACTTTGTAGTATATCTTGAAATCTGGGATTGTATATACCTCCAGCTTTGCTCTTTGACAAGAATTGCTTCAGCTATCTGGGATGTTTTTTATGATACAAACCTGAGTATTATTTACTCTGATTTTGTGGGAAATGCTGTTGGTATTTCAACAGGGATGGCATTTGTTTTTATTGTGTTCCATTTTAGAACTATCTAGTACTTTTCAGAGTACAGATCTTTCACCTCTCGTTAAATTTATTCACAGGTATTTTATACTTTTTGATACAATTGTAAAGGAGTTTGCTTAATTTCTCTTTCTGCTACTTTATTAGTAGTCTATAGCAGTGTAATAGACTTCTGTGCATTGTGTTTGTACTGAATTCATTCGTTCTCATTTTTTGGTGTTTTTAGGTTTTCTGTATTACCATGTCATCTGCAAATAGTGACAGTTTCATTTCTTCCTTACGAATGTGAATGCCTTTTATTTATTTTTCCTGTCTTTTGCAGCTAGAACTTCCAAGACTATGTTGAATAAAAGTAGTAAGAGTAGGCATCCTTGTCTTGTTCCTAATGTTACAGGAAAAGCTTTCAGTATTTCACCATGAGTATTAGGGTACAAGGTAGGTCTTACATGGCCTAGCTCTAAACTCACTTTACGTTCTGATAATTTTTATCATGAACAGATGTTGTATTTTGTCAAATGGTTTTTCTGCATCTATATTAATTTGGTCATAGGATTTTTACCTTTTATTTTGTTGATGTCATACACTACATTGATTTGTGAATACTCAAAGAGTCGTATCCCTGAAATA